TATATCTATATCTATATCTATATCTATATCTATATCTATATCTATATCTATCTCTCCACTTCTTTATATCTTTATCTTTATCTACATATTTATCTTCGAGTTGCTCGTGTCTCCGCTGCGAACATAAATACCACCAACAAATTTTCAATTACTTGTTTGGGATAATATTTTCGGAAAATGCAATTTGTCCGACTAACTTTATTCATTCATTTTGAGCTGAAGTTGGCGAAAAAAGCACACACACAAGCACAAACACACTGACACACACACACACATAAACATACTCGCACTTGTTCCAAGCAAACAGCAGCAATGAATGCGCTTTCATGTTCCATTTTTATACATACATACATACATGTTTGTGAGTTTATGTGTGCATATATGTGTGTGTGTGTGTGTGTGTGGCTCATATATTTGAGTGTGTGAAATGCGCGTGTTTGCTTGTGTTTGTAGTTTCGTTTCAAAAAACAAAACTTTCGCAAAGCGATGCGAACGCACATCGTGAACTCTCTAGCAAATGTTTGCCCAACTGAAAGTTACCCTGTAACCAAGCCATTGTGTTACTGTGACCCAATGCTGGAGCAACAGAAAGCAACATTAAATACGCATATTTGCGAAATTAGACGCCATTATTGCAGCTCCAATCGCTTTATCAACTCACAAAAATACCTAATTAAAATCAAAAACTTTTCTTCATGTGTAACACACATAATTTTGTTTGTTCCTCGCTAAGCGTGTGTGTGTGTGTGTGTGTGTGTGGGTGGGTGTGGGTGGCTGGTGGCCGGGTGGTTGGCTGTGTGGTGCAGTGTGGTATTACACACTCACCTGCGATGTCGCCCTCATCATCCGCGTGGCATCTTCTCTTTGACGCTTTGCACGTGTTTTTCTCCCGGTTGAAATTGTAAAAGTTTTGTCGGATTTTTTTACATTTTGCTTTACATTTTTTTATATACATATATATATTTTTTTTTTATTTTTTGTTTTATTTTGTGTTTTGTTTGTTTGTTACCCGCCGACCTTTGGGCGCTGCCTTCGGTGCCGTCGCGTCTAATTTCGGTTTTAAATACATGGTCATAGTTGTATAGTTGATTTCGCTGGCAAAAGTTGGGTTTGCGCATTTCTAGCTACTCGGCTGAGTAATGAATCCAGCGTCGCCTCCGGGACACCGGATACCTTTGGCAGCGAGAGCTCCCACTTTAACTTCAATTACACTTCAATTCAAATAATTTGTTAAAAAAAAAGGTTGTATTTATTAATACAGAGAAAATATATATATTACAACTACGAACAATTTGTTACAGTTTTGCTTACAGTCTACAAAAGTTGTCGAAGTGAAGAGCAAAAAGTAAAGGGATAGAAAAAAAAAAAAAAAAACAATAATAAAGATGGAAATTAAAACATGGCTTATAAGGAGAGTTTGGAAGAGATATGAAACAGTTAAGAATAGAACGAAAACCATATGGGAATGGCGTGAATAGATAGTTGGAAAGAGAGAGACAGTGAGGGAGAGAGAGAGAGAGACAGAGAGGGAGAAGGAATCATTTCAGATATATGAGCTGTCGAACGGCTCTACTTTCTCTGCTCGGCATCGTCGTCCTCCTCATTTTGTTTGCCGGAGTAGATGTAATTGTCACGCCCCGAGATGCCCGTACCGCCGGCATCGCCCAGCCAGGGATAAACGTTGGGGCACTCGCGGCACGTCTCCATGTAGCGAGTGTCTGTAATATTCTGTTCGGGTATCTTGAAGGGCAGCGCGCAGGTTTGCCAAATGTTGCACGGCTTGGGCGCAACGGCCACGCTCTTGTCACACTTCCACGCATCGATCTGGTTGACGTCGCGCAGCTCCTTGGGGTCGGTCATGTATTGCAGCATCTGGGTGATGGTCAGGATGTAGACGTCGGGTCTGTAAAAAGAAAATCGCGATGAAGATAGTTTCTCAATCAAATTTGCTTAAAATCGATAACTGTGCTATCGATCGATAGAGAGCTTTTCGATTAAGTTGAAGCCGCACTGTTCTATATTGCACTTATAGTTAGTATGAATCCCAAACGATTACTTGATAGCTTAATCGATATATAATCGATTTATAATTTATCGATAGAATTGCTTATAGATGTTCGATTATTATTATTATCGACATGTTGTTTTTCAATAAAATCGTTTAACTACTGTTCGTCAATATTGATCAATTTTTAGTTCAATTGCGAATACATTTTCGATAACTGTTATCGATTAAATTTTTTTTAGGTTAAATTCAATATGCCACAATCAGGTTATTTACATTGATTCATTGTTTTTTTTTATACTTGCTAGGAATGTTCGATAAATTTATCGATTGCAGTATATTAGTGTATGTTATACGTATATTAGCAGTTCGATACCTAAATTCGTTAATTTTGCTTTAATTCAAAACGATTGCATTTCTCGATATAATTGAAGCCAATTGATTGGCTAACTCCTCCACTAAACCATGGTCAATAAAATCAGTTGGCTATCGTACATCTGGCTCAGGCTTTGCAAATATGACTCTGAGCACGCAAACGGCCAGAAATTGCCTTGAATATTTTGTGGAATGGCCCAAAAGTTCTTTAGCTGGGAATCGTTCACACAATGCAGAGTTTCACATTCGCACTAAATAGCCTCTCGCAGGTGTCGAACAATTGGATGATGGCAAAGGAAAATTGTACGGATTTCTGCTGCTGCTGCTGCTGCTGCTGCTGCTGCTGCACCACCTCTCACTCACTCTCACTGGACTCACTCTGTTTGGCAGCTCGGCGAGAGGCGGCGTTTCATCATTCTGGCACGCATTTTCAAGCATCTCATGCAAACAGTTTAACGCCTGGGCCAGGCTTCTGCTTCTGCTTCCGCTGCCGTGCCTGTTCCTGCTTCAGCTCCCGCACCGACTCCGGCTGCTGCCGCCGCTCTGGCTTTCAGCCACATCTACAGCTGTGAGCTCAATGTTGAAAGTCATTCACACTAATTAAAAACTTCGTACAATTGTGCGAGAAATAGTTTTGCAGCAGCTGCTATTCAGTTTAGCTTTGGCTCAACCCCTTTGGCTCAGCTGCGCCCGCCCCGAACCGCCCTAGTCCTCAATCTTATTTAGCAATTGGCCCACACCCACATACACATGGTCCGAGGTGCGATCATAATGGCAGCGAACTGCATACGACCAACTTCTGTCTCAGTTCCACAACATGCAGATGAGTTATTGAGAGAGTTAAACGAATGCGAAAGTGTGAAAGAGTTCAAAGCGACCCACCATCCATCCACCATCCACCTGCCTTGCCGTGCACACCTGCTACATTATGCCCCTCCCCCCCACTCCCCCCTTTACGTTAGTGCAAAGGATATTCCAGTTGCAACTTTAATTCACTTCAAGCACATGTTGCCAGCTTAAGTTTCAGTTTGCTTTGTCTGCTCTCGCTCTCTCCCTCTCCCTCGCTCTCTCCCTCTCTCTCTCTCTCTCTTCCGCCTTTACCATCTCTCTAGTAAAAGCGATTAGCTAAGTTGCCTCAACCTTGGTCTTAGCCGTCTTTATTAGGTTGAGTTCATCAACAACTTAAGATTAAGTTTTAATGAAGAAATTCTGTTTTATTTATTTATTATTTAAAGTTGAGCTAACGCATTCAACACTTGACTAGAAACTTCTTAACTAAATGCAACCAAATTTTCTCTGACTTCTAGACGTCAACTTTGAACTTGGCCTAAGTTTTGCTTAAAGTATTTAGCCTATAGAAGAGAAGAGCGTGGAGGAATAGTATAAGGAATATGATTTTTATATTGTCTATCTCTGTCGCTCTCTCTCATCATTGCCTCTCTTTCTCTCTTCATTCTCTCTCAGCCTCTATTCATTCGTTCTCTACATTTTCTTTTCTTTTCTTCGCTCTTTCTCTCTGCATTCTCTCTCTATCTCACCTTCTATCCAGTTCATCTCTTTCTTCATTCTTCCTCTCTACAAATCGTCTCTCTCTCTCTCTCTCTCACTCTGCATTTACCAATCAAATGAACATAATGTAACTATCCCTCTACACAATGGATAATATAATCTAGATACATTGTCTCTCTTTCTCTCTCTCTCTCTTTCCCCCACTTTCTTTAACAACTGTTGCATAGTCTCGCCATATCCTTCAATACAATATACATGGACAATACTATCCCAAGGCCACATTTTATGCTCTCGATATTCAGCCTTCTTAAAGCCAAGTTTATTGTTGTCATTTTAGAAAAAAAAAACTTGGTTAATAACTCTAATTATTTGGCCTTACTCTCTCTCTCTCTCTCTCTCCCTCACTCTCTCTATTTACCAATGTGGTATGTGAAAAGCATTCGCTTGGCTCAATTAGGTTTGAAATTATGAGAGCTTGTATTTTGATTTCATTAAAAATGACATAAAAAATAATGCTGATATAAAATGGGAATTATAATGGTGCACGCTTGATGGCCACCGTCGGTCGGTCCCATGGGCTGGCCCTGGATGGGGCCGCGCTCAGTGGGGCATGCAGCTACTGGGACTGTAAGCCAGCCAACCCGATGCCAACCAGACAGATACTACCCATCCGAATGCGTGGCCCAATGCTGACAAAGTGCGATGCTATCAGCACATAACTTCATTATGGAAGTTTTGTGCCCCTGCCGCCGGTATATATAGTATAGTCTATGCTGTTGGCACTTTGATGCCGCATCCTGCCACGCCCCAGCCAGAGCAACCTGAACGCCACGCTTTGGCCGCATGTAACACTGACTGTGTGTGTATGTGTGTGTGTGTGTGTGTGTGTCTCTGTGTTAGCGCTGATGTTGTTTTTGTGCGTTTTAACATGGCTTTTAGTTAGCTACGGTCCAGGCGCTTTGGCCCCGCTCTTGCCTGCTTATTGTTTTCTTTGCCACAGCTCCACTCAGTGCCCTAGCCCTGAGCCCTAAGAGCTCAGAGCTCGATCTGCCACTGCTACTGCTCCTGTTCCTGCCACTGCTCCTGCTCCTGCTCCTGCTGCTGTTGTGCCTGCGCAGATATTTTTCAAAATGAAAGTTTAACAAAATTAAACTTTTCTCATTAAAACGTGCGATTTTTTTTCTTCTTCTTTTTTTTTTTTTTTCGTTGCTTTTGCTGCGGCTCTTCTTTCAGCTCTGACCACAGCGTCGCCATTGTTGGACATTGGCTGAGATTCGGGAGACCGTCGAGAGCTGTGCATATGGTTGACTGACTGGCTGCCCGTCTGTCTGCCCGCCCGCCCGTCTGGCTGGAGTGCGAGTGCGGCATCAACCTGTTCCAGATAGACGCGACCGCTGTCCGTGTCGGGCCATCAATGTGGCCACCACCAACATGTGCCCTCCATTGGACGACCCGGACTAGCAGCATATGCCGCTTGTTCAAGCAATTTTTATAGCGATTGCCAATATTGTTGTTGTTGCTGCTGTTGTTGGCGGTGGCGGTGCTGGTGGTGCTGGTGGTTGGGTGGTGCTGTTGCTTTTGCGTTTTCCATCTACTCGTTTTGTTTCGCTTCTCTCGATTTTCTCGCTTTTCTCGTCTTTTTTTTCTGCTTTTTTTTTTTAATTGAATATAAAACTTGCCAGCGGCAATCGGAAGCTCACTGCAGGAAACGCCAGCTGCCCATGTGTGTGGGTCTGTTTGTGTGTGCGTGTGAGTGGGTGTGTGTGTCTGCCAAAGTTGGCTTTCAATTAAGAAAACAGCAACAACAAAAAGCCAGAGCCGAGAAATACATTTATGAAAAATTAAAAGCCTCGTGCGTAGATAACAAAATCGCACACGAGCCGACCCCCATCCTTATCCCCATCCCCATCCCCATCTCCATCCAGTGCATGCATTTGCCCCAAATAAAACTTCGACATTTTAAAGCAATCGCAATCGAATAAGGAAGCATCGGCTAACAAAGTTGCTAAAAATTTCGGAGCTCCTCTGTGCGACTTCAGCAGCCTTAAAAAGTCGAGCAAGACCCAAAGCTCACATTGTGCAATTCAATTTCGAAATAATATATGCATACATATATATAAGAAGAGTGCTCTGGTCGGGTTCACCAGAATAGAAGATACCCTGAGGTCTGGGCAGAGCTGATATGCCCATCATTCAAGGCTTAGCGGGTGAAGTACGGGCTTTGAAAATATCCTGGGTATCCGAAATCCAGAAGAGAACTGGTCTCTATCCACTATGGTATTAACCTATAGAAAAGATTTATAGCTTTTGCGGCTTACAAGAATGCAGAGTTCACGCGGACGATATGTCGAATGGACAAGCAATCGAAAGGGCAGACGGACGGTCGTAGGGTAGACAAAGGATCAGACGACGAAACGCATGATTGGATTAATAGACAGATGATCGCACCGACAAGTGAACGATCGGACGGAGAGACAGACGGACATAGCTAAGATCAACTCAACTCAAGTCATCGTTCTGATCAATAATAAACCTTAATGGGGGTTTGTAACGCCCCCATCTATCGCTTACATTTGTATGTATGTTTATTTTCCCTAAATATTTTAATGGCATACATTGAAATCTCATTTTGTATGATTTCAGCATATAATACAATACAGAGTGTCTAGGCTATACTTACAATTCGAGAGCCCAGTCCAAGAATTTATGGAGTCCATTCTCCAGGGGCTTGGTCTGGAACCAGTTGGTATGGAAGGGCATCATATATGGCGCTTTATTCTGCTCGTAGTAACGCGAAAAGTCCTCCTGCAGCCACTCGAACACCTCGTTCTCGTCCAGATTGTGGAGCACACACTGATCCATGTACGGGCAATGGCCGCCCTCGAAGCCCTCAACGTAATGCGTATTCAATGGCACCTCCCACACGCCGGGAAAAGTGCGCGACGGACAGGTGCCGCTCTTGCACTCGTGCGAGATCTTATAGTCCAGCGTGTACGGCCAGACGGGCACTGGAACTGGCGGCACAGTTATCGAGCTATCATAGACATAGTTAAAGTCCTCCAAGACCTGTTAACAAATAATTGCAATTATTCTCTTTTACTATATATGTGCCACATTAAAGTGTCGGCTGAAGCTAATGACACATTTGGAGGAATGGGATTACTATCTTAAATGCGCCTGCTTAATAATATAATAAAGAGCGCTTTATGCTCGCTTATCTTGATTATTTCATTCAGGCCGCAAGCTCCGCTGACAATGTCGTCATTATCCATTCATCATCATCGTTGGCCCACACAGCCCCACACATACATACATATGTATGTATGTAATATTGTTACAAGCTTTTGACACTGTCACGCCCTTTTGCCCATCGCGAGAACGTCAGGTGCTTGTCGAAGGCGTTTTAGTCCATTATGTTGGCATTGTGATCTGATATTGATATGATTTAAAATACAACTAGATTTGGCCAACCCCAAAACGCGGCTGTTAATGATGATGATGCTGATGCTGATGATGATGGGGTGGCTGGCTGTGGGAGCCGTTGTATTATGGTCGTCTCTCTGTTATGACATTGATGAGCCCTGTTGTGTCGTGTCAAGTGTCAAGAGCGTGTTGTTGTTGTTGTTGTTGTTGCAGTTAATTATGCTGTAACTGCATGGCCCGTTAAAGCTTTTTTTTTTAGCAAATTTAAGAATCAACTTGCGACGATCTGACACCACGAATATTTTGTTAATCGATATACTCGATAAACTCACGCACTGTCAACAATAGATATGTATGTGTACGTACATATATATATACAATTGACATAAATACAACAACCAATGCGCATCATATGCATTTAATACTTTTTAAACTTAATTAAGCTGTTATTTCATTAGCATGCACTTCTTGGCGTTTTTTTGGGCTTATTTAGGATATTTTATATTAAGCTGCTGTTGATCTGGCATCACCATTAGCATATTAATCGATATATTCGGCTATGAATGAGCCCACACGCTCTCATCAATAGATGTATGAACATACATGCATATTTTTATACATATGTATGTGTGTATGTATGTATGTACTTACATTTGCCTGTGCATTTTAATAATATTCAATAGGCTTGAATAATTTATAAACTTGTCCAAGTACTTAGTGCCTAGTTGATCTTCACTCAAAGCACGGTTAGCATCTGCGTCAATTCAATTAACTTCAAGTCTAGAAGCAACTCTCGCTTTTAGTGGGTCAATCAATTTAAAGCCAAGACAATATTGTATGTGCTCTATAAAACTAGAACAGCTCTCGCCTGTTCAGACGCCCATTTCTAAGTAGATGTACAGCTGATAATTGCCAATCAATTATGTGCTGTGGTTGCTAGCAAAATGCATTTAGTACACATACACATACATACATAATACACATGTAGCTTTGTGTGTGTGAGTGGGTGTTGTATTGCAACCTACTCACCTTGTATTGCGTGTTACGGCCAGGCTTGAGGAAAGGAGCACGCATGCCAACCACATCGTCCACGGACACATTCGCAAAATGACGTAGAATTTCACGCATGCCAATCATTTCGCCCACCCACTCCTCGTAGCCCTTGTCCTGGAGTCCCAGCTGCTGTGATACGCTCTCGGTTGCAATTTCGTGACCGGCAAAGCCCAGATGCTGGATCTGTTGATAGTTGCTGCAAAAACAAATAGACAGCACAGATATGTGAATGGCTATTAAGTGATGTTCCTGCGTTCGTATAGCAAAAGAAGGCAAACAATTAAATCAAATAGAGCCCATGAAGGGAGCACTTAATGAAGGGTCAATGGCCAAACCGAGTCCTCAATCAATATTATCAGCAAGTACTCATCCCCTCTCTCTCTCAGTCACTCTCTCTCTCTCTCGCTCTCTCTCTCTGTCTTTATATTCCTGTTAAATTACAATTCATTTTCTGTTTTGGTTTTCTCCTTTAGTTTTAAGCATTTTATATGTTCAGAGATTTCTAGGAGATTATTTAAATTCCCAGGGGCTTAAGAGCCTTTTAATAAAAGCTTCAACAATGCAAAATGCATTCGGAAAACTCTGCCTGCAGGATATGCGTAATAAGTTGAGCGCAAACTAACTAAATATATACATATATGTATATATCATAAATATACATAAATATACTTGTTGTTTAGTTCGGTAAGGCCTTGCCCTTTAGATACCCTTCACACCACCTCCATACACTATTTAATATCATTTACATTCGTCCTTAAAGTAATTCCGTCTTATGTCTCTCGGTTTTGAGGCTCCTATTGAATCAATCAGCAATCAATTTCAATCAACTGTAAATTCCCCGTTCAATTTACCCTGCAATTGCGTACAGGGTATCTGGCTATCAGTTAGTTGCTTTGTCCGGCCATGTGCAACATTTTTAGAATTACACACAAAATGTTAATAAAAAAGAAATGCTCACACTTGATGAACAAACACAAAGCCGCCTCTAGATGCTGGAGGAGGAGAAGGAGGAGGAGGAGGGGCGCCGAGTCTCGTACCTGGGCTAGTTGCTGTTGCTCAGGTGCTGCAAAGCTTGCCACAATGGGCTCCGAGCAGTTTTTTTTGAATTTCAAAGCCGTCCAAGGGTAGTGTAGCTCACACACACACACACACACACACACACACACACACACACACACACACTCGCACTTTGCCTGCCAACTTGCATATGAAAGTCAATAAAT